GAGACACCATGTTTCCTTTCCTTTATTATCAGGCCTCCAGCTAATTCTGCTAAATAAGCCCAACATAAGGGATTTATTTATCCTGTTCTTCTCCAAGATAGTGTTTACCGTCAAGCAGTGGGGATATATCAGTTATGACTGCCTGCCCTGCCTTAAAATAGGCTGTTGGGTTATTGTCTGATTACCAGAGAGTGTGTTAAGAATCTCACTTCTCAACTCCGTGCTCTTTAAAATGGAATATTAGCCTTAAGATGGAGTCCCTCCTGTTCTTACTACACTACTTATATCTTGGCATTTTTCATCATAGGCAGGAAAAGTTAATCATGATGCTTGTCCCATGTCCCTGCCCTACCTTCCTTTCAGAGAAAGATCTGAAAAGGGGGCGGATATTGAATGCTGATAAAGGGAAGCCTCACTGACATGGCATTAGGTCTGCTGGTGGGTCTCTCATGCCAGGTGCTCCTGGCCAATTGCAGACCCCACAAGAAGGGACAGGAGCCTTACAATTCATACTACTTTGGCTACTTCACCATTAAGTGAGGAGCTAAGAATTTCTGCCTTCCCCAACAGCCTGGCAACAGCCCAGGCAATGAGACGCTGTCACAACTCAGCCAATGAGCAGTCACGACCCCAGTTTCCTCCAATGGACTTTTTTATTAGAGCAGACCCCAACTCTCCCTTTATTCTATAAAAGAGCTTCTTGTCCTTAGTTCTCCAGGCTTGTCAATGGTTTTGCCACAGGTTGCTCGACCTGAATTGTAATTTTCTGCTGTTCCCAAATAAACCCCTTTTGCTTGTAAAATAACTGACAGTTTTACTTTTAAGGTTAAAATTACATAGGATGCATTTAGCAAGCTAAATAAATACCCAATCAATGCACCAACCCAGAGGTTTGGATGTCCTCTCCAAAGGGATCTGCTGGATCAAAGATATTATTTTTAAGCTCAGAGAGTTAAACTCATTTAAAAGAGTTAATCTTAAACTGCATTATTTTTGTCAGCAGAGCTCATATTAAAACCAATAGCAATATCACTGGATTCATAGGCCAAATCTTTTATTTCTATTCCCCATCATGGAATCTGGCAAAACAGTAACTATATTAGAGAGAACAGAATTTAATAACGACAGATTTTATAGTCAGAAAAACAGTGGTGCAAGTCCTGGATCTTCCAGGACCCAGTGATAACTTCAGCCTGTCACATATCTTTACTACATGTCAATTTCTACATTTGTAATGGAGATAAAACTCCGGATAGATAGCAATAAATAAATAAATTAAGAGTTAATCTTATAAATCCACCATTCAAAGAAAGAAAAAAGCTTACTACCATATATATTTTTTATTTGCTTATTTGCAAGTCAACGTGGGAAAAACAACTCTGGGTGACTTCATGAATCAATCATAAAACAGACAAAATACTTTCATCACGCCCTCTAACATGTTAAGAAGCCAGAAACCTAGAACGTGGAAAACAAATTCTAGCCTTATAGTTAAACATGTCCATAACTTTAAACAATACTAAAACATAATAGCACTTTGAATTATGTTTCAGTGGGTCGTTCACGCGCGTGATGCGATTCAAAATCATACACATGAACTACGGGGCCGCTCGTCCGCGAAGAAGCCCGCGTTGGAGACGGGAGGCCCTCGCCGCACCGCTGCTCGCGCGTCTGCCTCTCCGCCTAGGGGGACTCGCGCATCTCCTCTCCCAGCCGCTCCTTTCGACCCGGAGGCGCCAACACCAGCCGCCGCGCCACTCCCCGCCTCCCTTCGGAGCCCCGGCTCGCGGGGATCGGCTGCCCGGCGGCCCGCGCCCCGCCCACCGCCCGTTAGCACCTCCCCGGCGGCCCAGCCACTTCCCCGCCCCGACAGGCCCGTCCCCTCCGCCTTGTCCTCTCTGAGCCGCGACGCCAGCCCTTCCGCCCCGTGCCCCTCGGCCCGCCCATCCGCTTCACGTAGCCCCTGTGAGGTTACGCGCTCCTGCCTCTACGTGATTGGCCTTTGCGCACGTCGCTCAGAAGTCCCGAACCCACCATTGGCGGTTTTCCCTGCTGAGTCACGCTACTCGAGCGGCTTAGGGCCGAAGAAGAGCGCACGGAGGAACCGCATCGTGTGTTGCAACCGATTTTCCTCGGCAGTGTGCCGAGCTGCTGCTATGGCGGCGGCCGCTGCAGAGGCAGCGAGTGTGGCTGCAGTTCCTATTTCGAGTACAGGTAGCTACGGCGAGTCGCCTGAAGTCAAAGGGGGAGCAGTTGGAGCCCTGTGCGTAGAGAAAGATGCGGCCTCGAAAGGCACAGAGGGCGCCGCGGACAGCGAGGAGGACGGCGAGAACGTGTTCGAGGTGGAGAAGATCTTGGACATGAAGAGTGAGGGGGTAGGCACGGCGCCGCAGGCCGAGGGGAGCGTGTGCTCCGGGGAGCGCTGAGGGGTGTGTTGTCGGGGGAGCCCGCGGGAGTGCGCTGGGTGCTAATGGAAGGAGGGCACACCGCTGCGCAGCGTTCACGGGGTCGTCAGCGTGTAGGAGCCTGCTGAAGGCCCCCGTCCTGCGCGGGAAAGCGGCGACGTCAACACGCGCCTCTCCGTGGTCCGGCGTCCTTTCGGTGTTTGCCGGAGCCGTGATTGATTTTATGCCGTAAAACCTTCGGAATTCCCATTCGCCCTTAGAATCTCACCCAAGAGGAGGCATATAAAGTTTTTAAAACCTGACCGTTATTTTTCTCTCCCTGTGAGTTACACGATTGTAGCCGCTCAGTAACACTTGAATTTCCTCATTGCACCAGGCCGTGGCACTCACTGTCCCCTCGCTTGGTGAAATCCTGCTCGCTCTTTGAAGAACTCGAGTCCGTTTCACTCTGACAGCCTTTTTTGACCTAGATCCCTGCAGAGTGAGGTGCTGCCTCACCTATGCCCTTAAGACCCTTTGTATAGATCTGTCTTTCAGCATTTAAAGCATTACCGTTCTTCCTGTGGATGTGTCTCCTGATACATTGTAGGCTCCTTTAATGCAGAGAATATGATTTTTGCTAATCTTCCTATCACTGGTACTTAATCCAGTGCCTAGCATTCAGTAAGTGCTTAGTGTTGTTTAGATTATTGAGTGAGTGAATGAATTGTGGGATGGAGGCTGTGGTGAAGGGGAGAGTGTGGAAAGATGGGCAGAAGAAAAATAATTGTTTCAGTAGATGGATGTGAGATGACCAAAGACACCCCCGCCGTGGTCGGGTTTCTATATTGTATTCATTCGTTTTATGTATTGTCTGTTATTTCCTATTTGTCATATGCTACCTTGTGTTAATTTTTTTGTCCATTCAGTAAATTTTTTCTGAATAAACTACTGTGTGCTAGGTGCTGTGGTAGGTCCTGAGAATACAGAAATGAATTGTAGCATACACAGTTGCTGACACTGAAAAGTTCTGTTGAGTGTCAATGGAAATCCAGTGCCATTAATAGTTAGTTGCAGTACAGTAAAGATATGAACATGTTAAGTATAATTTTCCCAAATATATTTTAAGTATCTGGAAGTGAGAGGTGGAGCCAGTCTTAATCTGTTTTGTATCATTTAACAGTGCTTGGCACATGTAAGTAACTTAGAAAATACTCGACTCGGAGGGTAATATCTTCAGAATTAAGATGATTCACTTTAATTTTGCAGTCCCAAAGAACTGTAGACACCATACATAAAGCCTCATATTCTAGTCAAAAGTGGATGAAGCTAAGAAACTTAAGTGTTTAAGACAGTAAAGGAGGCTTAGGCTTTAGTGGTATAAACAAGGTTGAGTAAATATGCTAGTTTGAGGGCCTTGGGGTTTTAGGTGCCTTTGTGAATGAGTGAGTTATTAGATAGATGATTAGTGCAGCAGCAGGACACTATGGCGGTTACTTTGTAAATGCTGCTGAGCCTGCCAGCCAGTTGACAAACGTAAAGGTCCTGATAGCCATTTGTTAGACCTTCTTATAGTGGAAGAGTTTTAAATACTTGGTCTGTTGATATTTCTGTGGTTCATAGCCACTGGCCTATGGTATTGTTACACACTAAATCACTGTGGTGAATGTTGGCTTAAGGGAATAGTATTAACACATTTATGTGTTAGCCATGTTCTTTTTTTTGTTTGGTTATTGCTCAATGTAATGTTGTGTTTTCAGAAAAATTAAATGAATCTGACTGAAAAATTGGGTTTTTAGCTTCAGTTTTGAATTGCAGTCGTTTTACACAATAAGAAAACTAGCTCTTAAAAGAAAAATTTTGTGGGCATTTCATTTGATTATTTAGTGTATAAATAAATGTTTTTATTATACAATTTAGTGAATTATCGCAAAGCTAATAACTGTGTAACCCCCACCCAAGTTACAAAATACTAGGTTGCCAGCCCCAGAAATCTCTTTTGAATCCCCTCTTACCAAAGCCCCTTCAATTTCCCAGAGACATTATCCTGAATTATTACATGGTAGTTTTTTCCATCTAAGCATGCATTGTTTAACACTTCAGCTTTACCTGATTTTTCCCCTTCATTTAAGTAGAATCTCACCATACTTGTTATGTGTCTGGGTTTTTCTGCTCAACAGTATCTTTGTGAGATTTAACCCATGTTGTATGGGGCTTTAGTTTCTCTAATCCTCATTGCTACATAGTATTTAGTTGCATAAATATATTACAGTCTACCTTTTCTCCTTCTGTTGATGGGCATTTGGGTCATTTCCAGTTTTGGGCTGTTGTGAATAATGCTTCTGTGAACTTTATTGACTATGTCTCCTGGTACCTTGTACACAATGCATTTCTCTTGGTTGCAGACATTTGAGAGAGGAATTGTTCAGACATAAAGGGCACATACATCTTTGGCTTTAAGTGGAAACTTTTTGAAACTGGTTGTACCTATTTTCACTACTACTAATGGTTTCAGAATTCCTTTTGTTTCACATCTTGTCAACACTTGATATTGTCAGTCTTTTTATTTTAGCTGGTATACCAGTGGGTATATAATGGTATCTCCTTTTAGTTTGTACTTCTCTGGATCCTGCATTACTAATCAGTGTTGAAATCATCGAGCATCTTTTCATATACTTACTTATTGATGATTTAGTTATCTTGTGTTATGAAGTACCTATTTAAATCTCTTTTTCTAATAGATAGTCTTTCTTTATTGATCTGTGGGAGTCCTTTGTGTATTCTCGATTCAAACCCTTTATTGGTGATGTGTTACAAATCTCTTTTCCTGATGTGTCTGATGAATAGATCATATGGTTAATGTAGGAAAGCTTAATCTTTGTCTTCATGTTGAGTGCTTTTTAATGTGTGGTTTGAGAAATCTTTACCTACCCTAGAAATTCAATTTTTTTCTTTGTTTTTTTCTAGAAGCCCTATTGTGTTGCCTTGCATATTTTATATTTATACTTCCCTTGGAGTTGATTTTCTGTATAGTGTAATGTTGGAGTCAGGTTTCATTGTACAAATATGCTGTTATTCTTACAGTGTCTTGTAAATTTTAGAGTCAGCCTGCCAAATTTGCACATATAAAAACTTGGAGGTTTTATTGGAATTTGCATCAAATCTGCAGATAAATTTAGGATCAGTTTAATTTTTTCTAGTAATGTTTTATAGCTTTCTGTGTTAAGGACTTGAACATCTTTTATTAAATTTATTAAGTATATTATTTTTGATGCAGTAGTAAGTTGTCTTTAAAAATTTCATTGTCTTGTTCATATATAGGAATAGTTAATTTGTGTATATTTTCTCTTTGTTGGACACAAATTCCCTTTTATTTCTAGTTGCTAAATACTTCTATAAATGGTCGTTGAATTTTATTAAATTTTTTTCCTGCATCTATGAGGTAATTGCATCATTTTTTCCCTTTATTCCATTCATGTGGCACAGTAGATTGATTTCCTAGTGTTGAATTGACTTTGCGTTCATAGAATAAACCAAAACTGTGATGTTACCCCTTTAAATGTTGGATTATAAATTTGTTTTAGTTCCTTAATTCCTGCTTTTCCTTCATATTCTTTCCTTAATTTGCTGATCTTTTTCTAACTAACATCTTGAGGTGGATACATAGTTCATGGTTTTTCATCCTTTATTTTTTCAAATTGTTTGTCTTTAAAACTATAAACTACCTTCTAATTTTAGTTTAGCTGCAGCTCACAAATTATGTAGTATGTTTGTTTTCATTCAGATGAAACCATTTTCCAATTTCCATAAATTATGTGCAAATACATTGCTGACTTCCAAACATTTGAGAGTATTAGTAAATGTTTCCTCTGCTTTAAAGGAATTTTTACTTTAACTGTAAATATTATTGTAAAAATAATTAAATGTAAAAATACCTGATTGTGTTCACTAAAACCTGTAATACAGCTGCCACCAGACAAATCAGCCTTTACTTAGGAACTTGAAATTGCAGGAATATAGGAAAGTAGAATAATTTCCATGGAAGAGGCTCTTCAGTGCTTCATATTCCTAATTATTGATTATGGTAATTGATATTTTTTAATGATGTGTACCCTGTTTATTTTAAGAGACAACATACTTTTACATCTATCATTAACACTATTGAAATGCTTAATTGTAGTGGGTTTTTTTGGTATTATTATTATTAATCTACAATTACATGAGGAACATTATGTTTACTAGACTCCCCCCTTCCATTAGGTAGTAAGTTGCTGTAGAATCACTACTTGTCTTCTCTGTGCTGCACAGCCGTCCCCATGTCTTCCCCCATATTATGCATGCTAATCATAATGACCCCTTTCTTTTACCCCGCCCTCCCATCCCACCCTTCCCAACCATCCTCTCCAGTCCCTTTCCCTTTGGTAACTGTTAGTCTATTCTCGGGTTCTGTGATCTGCTGCTGTTTTGTTCCTTCAGTTATTTCTTTGTTCTTATACTCCACATATGAGTAAAATCATTTGGTACTTGTCTTTCTCCGCCTGGCTTATTTCACTGAGTGTAATACCTTCTAGCTCCATGTTGTTGCAAATGGTAGGATTTGTTTTCTTCTTATGGCTGAATAATATTCCTTGTGTATATGTACCACATCTTCTTTATTCATTCATCTACTGATGGACACTTAGGTTGCTTCCATTTCTTGGCTATTGTATATAGTGCTGCGATAAACATAGGGGTGCATCTGTCTTTTTCAAACTGGGCTGCTGCATTCTTAGGGTAAATTCCTA